TATCATTGAAAACAACATACACTTTCTCGTTCATTGAATCCATTTGTTACTTGTTACATCAATTTTTAGGCACTTTCCTTCCTGTTCAGTTTATGCCAATAAGTGTTGGTGGCTAAGATTAAAACATCCAGAGGTTTACTTGCCTGAGTGAGATTTTAAGTAAAAAAAAAAAAAAAAGCATTGCAAAGTTGTTCTCTAGTAACACCTTTAAACCTGTGTGATCATAAATACAGATGATGCCAGGAACAGCAATGATGCCTGACAGCCGATAACAACTCTTTTTACTCATGACTGCCTATTTTTCACAACCCACTTTATGCCATTTCCTCTAAATTGGAAGTGTTACCACTTAATCCCTGTCTAATGGTTATATCCTTTATTAGTGGAATAAACTTTCCCAGTTCTGACTGGACCATGCTACAAACTTGTACTTTTACTAGATATTTCACTGGAATTATTCCTGGGCAACCTTGGCGTCTGGAGACCTCTTGCCAAGTTCTGCTATTCTTTTACATGGTTTCAACTCCATGGTTTTAAAACTTTGGGATTGTTTCCCTCTTAAGTTTGTATAGGCGTACCTACACTAGCGCATTAGTTCAGGTCACGAGGGTACTTTAAAGATCATCCTCACTAACAGTGCTTTTGTTTACATCGCAAAGTAGGCTGGGAGTACACAAACTGAATTCTTTTTGGATGAAACTACACTGGAAAGCTCAGAGTGCACTCAACATGCTCCAACAACTAAGAGGCACTCAGTCTGGAGGGCCGGAAAGGAGCCAGGCTGAAGGAAACTGAGAAACACACAGGCTGGGGACATCAGGTCCTCAGCACCAACTATCTTGCTCTACAAAAGCCGTTTCATGGGGCTACTCTCCTTACTAGGGAGCCTGTATTGCCAAGCATCCACTTCAATCATTTATCGTGGTTACTTCATTGAGCCTAAAGAGGCTTGCGTTTCTTTAATATTCATTAGCATTAGCATGATTCTTACTTCATCCCAAACAAACTTCTTCCACACATCCCAATTCCCTTGATTTCTTACATCCTTTCCTTACTGCCTTTTCTTCCCTTTACTGAGAACTGTTAGGCAACTCTTCAGCAAACTAAATTTGGTCCAATAACTATCTTCCTAGGCCTACAATCTACTTACTGATCTCCAAAGACAAAATTGTTTTTAAAAAGACTGCTTAACATGAAGTTTCTAAATTTATACTTCTTTTACTAAACAAGTTAACCTGATCTTCAAAGGTGCCCTCTGAATCACAGAGAAATTACACTCCCTTGTGAGTTGGTGCCTAAGTAATACGATTGTAATACAATTAAGTTCATCTTCTGATAAACAATTTGTAAAACATAAGATCATTTAATGGTAGACAAGAGACATTAACAGCCTCGCTTTCATTTTAAGGATTGATTTTGAAAAAGGGTAGTGGAAGTGAGTTTCATGCTATCGTTAGAAAAGTGGAAAAAGTAAACATGGCTGATTCCGCATGGTGAGATCCTGACATCCACTGGAAGAGAACAGTACGTTATCACATATGCACGGTACTTCTGAGAACACAAACGTCATATGGCTAGAAATATTCAGCCAATTAAGTAGCAATCCAACTGACCGAACACTGGTAATTAATTATAAAGTGCTGCTTCACACCAACAAAGATGCTTTCATGATGTAACTTACTGTGATAGGAACTACAGAGCCTCAGAACTAAAGTATGGTTACAGAATATTACTAAAAACAGTTGGCATTTATTGTAAGACAGCATTGTAAGTCCTGAATTCTGATTAGCTAGTACACATAATATTACTTTTGCATAATAACAGTTCATTTTACAATTTAAGTGGTCAAGTATGGGCTGTGCAATAATAATAATAAAAAAATCAGGGCATATCAAGCTAACCTTTCACAGCAAACTTTCCTGACCTTTCTGAAAGAGGAGAATTGAAGCCTTTTCTCAGTAGTCCCCTTTTTTATCCCAGTCTTCTGTGACCTTCTCTAATTATCTATTTTGTTTCTCAAAAAAAACCAACAGGGAAGTGAGCTGCAAAGTTTCACTAGCAGAGTACTCAGCAAAAGTTAAAAGGAGCAGACCAGAAAGTTTAGGAGCAAGATTTGTAAGGATTTCTGTGAAACAGAAATAAGGCAGGCCAGAAAGAAATGGATAACAGAAATTAATCATAAGGAGAGTGATTTCCCAAACAAGTAAAACTTAACCCCTCACCCCCCCCCCCCAAAAAAAAAAAAAGAAACACACAACAAAACTTTTAAGATTAAACTGTATTTCTTGGCATAAGAAATGTTTGCTTTTAAGGACAAGTATTTCAAATCAATGTTAATTTTATTTCTTATTACTAACAACATGTTATTCCCTAATTAGAGCTTCTAAGAGATGAGCTGCTTTCTGAGAGAGAGTTGCACAGCTATTTTAAGGAAGCACTGAAATGCAACATTACCATTCCACATATTACCACATCAGAATACCTTCCTGTAGACAACTAAGCAGTGCAGCTGAGCTGTTACATCTAGCCTTTCACAGCAGCTTATCTTTCTTATTAGTAAATAAAAAACCCCAAGTATATTATAGTTAGAGGGCTGAGATTAAAAGAAGGATCCATTACATTTACATCCTAACACTTCAAACTGCACTTGCTTAACAGAAAATTGCCCAGGAATCTTCAGGCCTGCAGACTCTCAGCATACCTGCAAGTAGCTACAGGTTAAACACAAAGTTCCCATGGACTCATGTCCTAAGTACCAGAGAGACAAGGCTAGAAAGAATTAGGATTCACACATTTACCTGATAGCCCCCACTTGGTAAAGAAGAGATGTAGAAGGCAACACCTCGTATGTGAGAATGACTGTCTCACCTTTCAGCTGAAAATGCTATAGTCTTAAGCATTACCAGGCATATTTTAAGGAAATTCATAAATAAGTAGGGCAGTGTACTTAGTGCAGAGAAGCAACAGCACATAACATCGTGTGGGGTGTAAAGACCAAACTCTCTCAGAGTCTCTTTTAGTCACTGTATTGCCTTGCAAGTTCCCACTTAATGCATACACCTTTAGTAACATGGAGGAAAAAAAAAGGGAATGTTCTGCAAGTCTCATTTAAACCTCCAAAGGAATTTGTCTGCTTTGTCTTGGAGCATCCAGGTAGAACTCATTACTCTCATTACTTTAACATCCTAAATGTAATGGGAGAACAGCATTGAAGACTGACAGCCACTGAGCCCTCAGAGAACAACTCCAAAGAAGCCTTTTTGCACAGATGCATGAGGCTTTTGTGCAATGTATGATCCTTGTGCCCAAATTCAACGTTATTAGAGCAACTCAAGGTGTAGCAACTGTGTATGTTAGGGACCTATGCCTGTACACCATGGGGGAGAGGAGAAGTGAACATGCAAACATCCCTCAAGTAGTTTTATTTATGTTTACAGAACAATCACAAATGTTCTAAAAGTGAGAGACAAGTAATGGCTGAAGCAGTAATGGGGAAAAACAAAAAACAAACAACAACAACAAAAAAATCAAGCATTTCACTAATGGGACTGTCCCCATTCCCACTCGTTCCAACAGGTCTCCATCCAGCCCAGTGTCCTAAGGTAGGAAAGGAACAGAAAGAACTGAAGAAAAAAAACAAACCCAAAAAAACCCAAGAAGGGGAACAATAATCAACATAAATAACTAACTGCTGTTTTCAAAAAGGGCTTACTCACCACATCAGAACGCAAAAAGTAAGACAATAGGGTACTTTCCTCAGATTTGTGGGTGGGAGAACAATGCAGGAAGTCCAAACAGCTTCCCATGATAGTAAAGGCAATATATAAGATAAACATAGTGTAGTCCAACATAAACAAATAAAAATAATCAGACAGCCATCAAGGTCCAGATTATTCAAAAAAGTCAGAAATGCAGATAGATTTTATGTAAGAACTTAAATTTTCTTTGGTATAAAAAAAAATTAATGCCAACTTAAAATCAAATGTTTCATTTAAATAAGCCATATAAGTGAACCAAAATAATTACAAAATACTTATACTCAGCAAAGTACTTGTTTCCAGCAAGTATTATTTTTGTTACCGTATTATCCAATGCAAAGTAAACCAGAAAGTTATCTGCCCTGCAAGTCAGAGTTAGAAAAACATCTCAGAATTATATATGATTTTTCCTCCTTTGTATAGATATTTAGATTCAGAGTTGACAGAAGGCCAAAGGTGTCACAGAAAGAGACATGAAAGATAAATATTTTCAGAATTATCAGAATTACAGCATCCTGTAAGAAAGATTTTTTACAGTGAGACTTAGTTCCCTCTAGCAAAGCAGGGGAGTTAAAATTAACTGTTTAATAATAACTGAAAGTACATGAAACTGTTCTACCATTTCAGGCAGGTCTCTCTGCTCCAAATATTCCTGTATTAAGTGAGCCCTAGAAGGCATGCTTACAGAACATTTGTGTGTTTTATATGATAATGGGGGGGGGGGGGGGCATTTGCAAGACATACATATTACATCTCCCACAGGAATCAGCTAATCACTCAGTTAAATAGTCTTCAGCATTCCCAGTGCCAGTCTGCTTGTTTCTTGGACAAGGGAAGAGGGATTAAAGGGGAAGAGGTGGCATGACAAAAATAGAGTTCCTAGCATTGGCTTAATTTGTTATCTATGGTACATCTTCGAAGTCAGAAAGTTGATTAAAAATTATTCTTGAAAGTAAAACAGTCTTTATACACAACAGAAGTATAAGACACATTTCATATTAATGATCTAGTAAATTAGCGAACTGTCCCTTAACTGTGTTTCCAAAATATAACTTTCAACCATATGCTCCTTAAATACCTGGAAAAGCAGTCTAGTTTATTAGAAAGTGTAACAAATATATGCAATTAAAAAAAAAAGCTTGGCAAAGAGATACCATTTTATTACAGTATACAGTGCTATTTCCATTGGAAAATGGACAAACAAATTCCAAATGAAACTAACAGAAAAACAAAAATCTCCAAGATGTAAAGACCACCAACGAACATATTTAAGTTAAAAAACCAAACCATGACATGTTGTATAGTTGAAGTTTTATTGATGGAAATGCAAATATAACCATGGCATATCACAAAAACAATTTATAACATTTCATTAAAAGCAGTTCCTTGAAAACATCTGCAATCATTTGTAACAAATACACTGAATATTTGAATCCTTGTATCTTAAATCAAAATATTCCTCTAGAAGCCTGTTGTAGATGGTTACTGAAAACCCAACATCAAACTTTACAATTAAAAAAAATTGCAGTAATCCCTAAAAATGGGCACCTAAAATCAGTAGGTATCTCATGCAGCTGTATTTCAGGAAGTGCTGATTATTCTTTCTCAGGAAAATAAATATTCCCACTTGGTCAAAAGGTGTCCCCCCAAAAAACAGAGGGGCACTTCCCAATGGCTAATTATCACTTAAAACTCAGATGAATGCAGATGTTTATTGTTAAACACAAATCTTTTTTTAAAATACGCTCTCCAGCATATCTTGTGACTACAAGATTCAATTTAATTCATCAACGTGCATACCTGAGGTGCTATGTTGTCTACATTCAGTTTTCCTGGAAGAGCTACTAAATGGAAACAAATCAACACAGTATATTTTAGCTGAACTGTTCATTTTCTTTAAATCATTCTTCCTTTCCAAGGAATTTGTAGACCTACTGACAAAGATTGTAAAAGAACGCCATATATCTTTTATTTATCTCTCATGTCTTCGTTGCTTGGATCTGATCTGTTAATAAAAAGAAACAGCTAGTCTTAGCACAAGATGAATTCTTGCTGTATTTTGCTTTTTGAAAACATAACTCAGTATTGTCCAGATTACAGAACTACACCAAGAGATATTCTGGTGTAGTTACAAGAATGGGGGACAATGCAGTTACAGTTGTTTTCAACTTGCTCTCTCATCCACTTCTGAAATTCCTCCGCAGCCAAGTTGTTTTCCCCAAATGTTGCTAATTAAACAGGAAGACTCTTCTACATAATTCAATTTTTATCTTTTTCAGGCTTATAAGGTAACTTTCATGAGAATAAGGCCTGGAAGTTTACTTTATGAAGTACGCATTTCAATTCCTTGTACACATTTCAGCTTCCACATAACTGAACATGAACTAACTCCCCAAAGCAAAGGATATAAAGTTTGTTTTGAATAACTCATATGAAAACTTCTTTGTTCACAGTAGCCACACTTCTCCATACAGCTGCCTCATTGCCACTTCTCAGTTCACTTCAAACATTTCCTTAGCTGGCATAAATGTACCGCATCCCCATTACAAAATGGGGAAATCAGCACAATTTCCCCCACTAATAGGAAACATGAGCTGGGCTTAGGCTCTTGTGAGACAGGTTAGGTTTACCCTACTGATGATGTGTTATTGCAATAGTAACCCCAATACAAAATAGGGAAATATGTAAACTCAGCCTTCGCTAGGGAAAAAAAGGCAAAACTTTCTTTCCCTGATGCCCCAAATCTGTGAACTACCTGTAATGGGCCTGCAAAAGGTAACTAAGGAAAGTATGGCTGTTGACAAGAAGAACAGTGCATTCATTAACCATGTGTCGCTTCCTCCATTGAATTTTATGGCAGCCACAGGCTGTGATTTAGGGACCATTATAACTTAAGAGTTGTTCCAAATATTTCCATCTAGTGCTCTAGGAATGAGGAGGAGAATCGTAGTAAAAATTTGTTCTTGAAATATCAAAGTCTTCATCCATTAAAAGTATAACTGCCAAACTGCATGTGCTTAGGCAACAGTAGAGTTTAAACCCAACCCCTCTTAAGCTTTTGGGGACACTGAGCCAGGGAATTAAAGGAAATTTTTAGATAAAGCCCATCCATGAAGAATTTCAGCTCAGAGAATTAAGAGGTTTAACAATCCATGAGAAGTGAATAGCTATAAAGAGCTATGTAAGTAAGTGACAGCAGAAGCACCTGCTTACTGTGCTTAAGAATCTACATATACAACTTAAATATTTTGTCAGAAATTTGAGATCCTTTTAAGTAGCTTGAAGCTATGTACAAAACCATCAACTGAAAACTTGGATTGAAACTTAGAAGATTCCTCAAAGATAAGCAGAGACCCTGAAAATCACAGGAAAACTTTACAAAACATTACAAAACCTGAACTATGCCTAAAATTAGGAGAAAGTATGTGATTTGGAATCTGCCTCTATGATAATAAGATGCAGCAGTGAAGGAAACTCAGTAGTAAGATGCTGTTTCCCCACCACAGAACTCTTGCAGATGGTGGAGGATGTATCACTTCTTCTGTAGGGCAGTAAATCTCTTTGTAAAGACTATTTTTGGCTAATATCCCTTCCTCTGAAAACATGACCAAATGTTTTTGTGTTCTGTAATGGCACAGTAAAATAAACCATCTCTTTCTAATTAGGAGTAAGGATTCTAAGTAGAAAGGATGGTCTGGTATCCATAGATAAATGGAGATATGTTAAATCGGGGACAATGTTAGATATTATTTAGCTGCATTTTGAAGAAAATGAGTTTCGTGGCACTGAGTCTGGAGCATCGCTGACATCTAGCGGCTGCCAGAGCACGGAACACGCCAGCATCGAGAAACCGTCTTGCAGATTCAGATTATACCGTGCTACCTAATGCACTCACAATGTAAGCAACATAAATTAGGGAGCTAAAATTAGAACAAGTCTACCAAACCAATACCAGACTTCACTATTCTATACATTTAGCAGTACATGGGAGGACAAAAGAGACGATATCCTTACCAACACACAACAGAAGGATATACAGCATCCATACCAAGTTTGTAATTAAAAATGTGTATGTAATATATCATCTAATATGGATCTGATATTTTCTATGTAGTTACGAGTGTCTGCATATGCTATGATCATTATAATGTAAGCTCTTCTTATTTTGGCTCTAGATTAAAGAACTGAAGTTGAATAATCAAAACTAGTGTATTTGCCTGTGTACTTTGCTAATTTTTCTAGCCTTCTTATTCACCATTTCCTGACACATAACATTAAGTTATGTAAAACTGGGACAGGACAGTAAGAATAAATTAAAGAACAAACTGAACTACCAGAATAATAAATAGAAGTGCAGGAGCTAGTATTATTATTGTTTACAAGAAAGTGTTACACTGTTTGTAAGAGTATGCATTAATATTTCATAGTACACACTTTTGTCAGAGAAACTGACATGATCTTTTGTGTACATTAAGGAGGTAAATGAAAGGCAAATATGACAGAGCATCAGTACTCACTGTGTAATTTGATCTGACAGCAGAAGTGGACAGAAAGAAAACAAAGGAAATAATAAAGAAAAAACCTTATAAAATGAAAAAGTTTAACAGAATGAAAATAGAGCAAGAGAATTACATATAATATACCTTGAAGCCAATCCACACCTTCTTGTAATCCTTCTCCTTTAAGAGCATCACTGGCACTGAAAGAAACAAATCAAATTATGAAAGCATTGTAAAATACCAGTTTTAGTGGAGTCATCACTACACTTGTAATTACAGAATTGCAAAGTAGCATTAAGTACAGTTACTTAAGTTTTCTTCACATGGAGAAGGCTGCTTCTCAAATGATATATTCTAGAGTACCTTCCCAATATGGAAACACCATTTCAAGATGTGATCCATTTTAATTCCAGTTTCAAGGCAGAGGAATCATTCCTAGAACAAGAGGGGTTCTGGAAGAGCTCCCGCACAAGGCAGCCATGTTGTTCTGCAGCACCTCCACTTAAATAACTCCCCCCTCAGACTATGCTATAAAAGATGCTTACTACCTACAACAGCAGCGATGAATCATAGAATCATTTAGGTTGGAAAAGACCTTTAAGATCATTGAGTCCAACCGTCCTCCCATGCAGTTCCTATACACAGCGAGAATGTTGGAATACTGGAGGAAGAAAGTATAGTGTGTACACACTTCATTGTGACAGCAACCCTAGGAATGTCTGTTAATATATATTAATATTAAGCTACACTGAGAACAGTGTAAAGCTACCTTTTGAATCACAGTGGTGTAACTGTTTAAAGGCCCCTCATTCTTCAGCTTACGAAAACTAGTACAGCAGTGAATCTGGACTGTACTGTGGTTAGCTATAAAATTATCTTCCAAGGGGCTTGGGAATTCATCCGTGTAATTTCCGAGACAAAAAGCAGTGACCCCAAAACAACGCCCAGGTAATCAAGTTTAATATTAAAGGGCCTAAAATGAAAATTGTCGTTTTCAGCAGCATTTAGCTGCTGATTTAACGTTTATTTATAGTATCTGAGGACTTTAATAAGACAAAAATCTAACTTCTATAAAACACTTCTGATAAAAGGAGTTTTTTTCCTTGTGAACACTGGCACAAAATTCTTCTATTTATATGAAAGCTTACATCCTTCAGAAAGAAGAGACACTACCTCCTACAACTAAATATCCCCTCAAACATTACACAGTACAACGAGTACGGTGTCCCTCTGAATTCACATGAGAACAGTTTACTAAATGGCCTTTCAACAGTAGTTTACTAAAGCATCCACAGAGTGGAAAAAACCAGCTCTAAGGTTTTATTGTTGGTATTCTGAAGCCTGCAAGACAAACTAGCAGCAGCACTCTGATAACAATTCTACTCAATTTCCCAGCAAAAAATAATGGCAGCTATTTTTCTGATAAGAACACTGCTTTCTGATTTCACTAGAAGTCCTCCATTTCATTATCTGGGTAACAGTTCTATTGTGAAAATTTTCAAGACACAGTCTACATGAATGCATTGTGCATTTAAAACAAGTTTCATAGCAAGTATTGTAATATTACTACTGTTTCCACATGTGGCAGCACAGCATTTTATCTGGTTGATTTAATTTATGTTATATAATACTGAGTGGCATGATAGAGCTAAAATATGAATGTACAAAGTAACGCCAATAAAAGGTAGAAAAAGGGAAATTTACCAGATATGCCAGGGCTTGTCTTTGATGTTTTCTAGTGACAGTAACTGAGATACTTTCACAGATGATATTGCATCCCTGAGGTCCATCTTGTTAGCAAAGAAGAGAATAGGCAGTCGACGGTGCTTAATATCTAGGCATGAGCAGAAACAGAACTATCATGACATTATGCAACACTTATTAAGCTCTACATGTAATAAGCTACGAACCATACAGGAAGATATTTTGCTCACCTGTATCTGCAATTCTCTGAAGGTTGTATCCTACCAAGACGCACACTGTTGGGTCACATGGCCTCTGATGCATGCTTCAAGAATGTTCACAAACTTTCTGGCAGGCTTTGGGATCTTCCACCCCCTCTCCCCCTACCTCATACATATATTTAAAGCTGTAGGTATAAATTGCTGGTGAAGCTGAGGAACAGGAGATCAAACAACTGCCTACAAATACTACACATCTCTGCTTAGTGAGGACTGGGTGTGTAAAATGGAGAGAAAAATGATTTGTGTTCATTCATAACCTCACAACAATAGTTGCATAAGGGTAGTCTGAATTATCCTTTAGCATCCTGGAGAGCATCCATGACTTCATAAAATTCATAAAATAGGGAAAAAATGCACGTGTCTGGACATCCCTTATCCTTCACTTGAAGGAGGACTTCTTCTCCAGAAGCTTTTCTCAGCTAGAGTTCTCTCAGTGAGAACTACAGACCAAACCAAGTACACTGGCTGGCAATTTCTGGCATACTTACACATTCGAAAGCATAAGCCTCGCTGATTACCACAAAAGACTAGACTAGAGAGTCATTGGAAGGAAACAAAGTATACTCTCTTCAACCTGACAGATGTAAAACTGCCAAAAAATTACCAGCACCAAGACTAACTGTAAGAATTTTTCACATTATTTAAACAAAGAATGAATTACAGGATTAGACTCAAATATAGATTTTCTCTATCAAAGAAAAAGAACTTGAAACCGCCCCCTATGATGAAAATTGCTATACAGGCTCTTTTTAAAATAGTAAAAAGAAAAGGTTATTTCACACAGGAAACAAGCTAAGGATTTATTTAAAAACTTCAAACATAAGTGAGCTGCCCCTGCAGGGGGACGGGGACAAGGGACAAAAAAACCCCCAAAAAGCCATCAAACTGTGAATGCTGAAGTGGTTTGAACCTTCCTAATTACGTTCTTTTCAAACCTCCTACTGAACCTTTCCACAACATCAGTGGAGATAACACTATCTATCCATACTCAGAGATCATAAGTGCTGACCAAAACACTAACCATTTTCACAACTATTTACCCTATCTGGAGCTATTTTTTCCTCTGATATCTTCTAACACAAATCAAAGGCCTCAAAATACAAGCACAGAGGATCATTAAATCTCTGTTTTGATTCCATAGTTGAACAGCTTTTGTGTCTCCTTGTTGAAACTTCTTCATTAATCTATAGTATAATTAAATGAACCCTGGTACCCACAGGTTGCAGGGTATGGATAAATTAAAACAACAGAAAGTAGTTGACATCACATATGCAAATAGCCAAGTTAATCACGGAATTTTCAGTGTTTTTTAAAAGCAATTAAAAGGGGGCACAACCTACCCACATAGACTCATAAATGTAGATTTAAAGAGGTTTGCTAAATAAAGTGGTGGTCGCAGAAATTTACATTATTTCCTACCTTATGACATTGTTTCCTACTATTTCCCCCCACACTTTTTACAGTTATTAATGGAAAGCTAACATTTTCTAGTTGCAAGTAGTTACGAGTTAGCACATTAAAAAAAAAAATCCCAGACACTAGATAAGTGTGATGTGTAATTTTATACAGAGAATTTCAAATTTACAGGAATTTCAGTTTATTTTAGAAGCATGTGCTGGAGGTCAAGTGACCCAAGAGTCAATATCTAAAACAAGTAATCTACAGACTACCATCTTGCAAAATGCTGAAGAATGAAGTTTGATTAAAAAAAAAACCAACGGTAACAGTGATCATAAAACAAGCTGTTACTTGTGGAGTGCATTGTCCACTTATGTAAGTAAAAATAATTTATAGTTCTGATTCACAAAACAGTCCCAGCTAGTACAACTTCTAACCCTGTTAATGCTTCACAGTACACATTCCCTTTCACCTGACAACCTCAGGCAAAGTCTGGCAAAAAGAGGGGGAACTGTTTTACTGAAGGATTGATAAGATTTTCAGAGACAGGAATTGATTCAAGGTTTTTACCCTGCATCCACTTAAACCTTAAGTAAACATGTAAATTTAAACCACTCCAGAGGCAGAAGCATAGACGGGGAGAAAGTAGGGTATGCAGAAAGAAAAGCAGAACAGCAATACAAATAGAAATATTGATATAGTAAAACAATTATATATTGATTCAGTTAACAGCTACTTTTATCAAACATTACTACTAGAAGAACTTTTTATTCTCTTTGCTTCTCTTCGATGTGACCTATCAAAATCCGAAACGATAAAACAGGAACGCTGCTGCTGCATTTGAGCTGAGCTACTTCAAGGCAGAAATACAAAACTGCCCTTCCCTGGTTCTAGGGAATGTGCCTATAGCGCCCATAGCCATGGTCTTTCAGAACTAGAAGACACAAACACACCAACAACTGAACAGTGCTGACCTAGCATTAACAACCTATTCATGCCTAAGTGAAAAGCCCCACCTAAGCTTGCATCTCCTCAGTCTTAACATTTTCACTCTTTTGCCTTCTAATAAACTAGTAACTTATTACAGCAGTCTTTACCTCCCACCCTTGGTCCTATGTGGTTTTCATTTTACCAATGGAATAGCCTTGTACCACTGTGCTTAATACCTGCTTTGGTACAAAGTTCCCTGGCCTCTATGTAAATCCAACTGCAGCCTTTGGTTCACCTCATCCTCCCCTTTGACCTTTGCAAAACTGTCTTTTCAGTGTCTGCATTTGAAGTGGCCCATATCCTTGAACATGAAACTAAGGAGGCCCAGTCAGCTCACACACACTCAGCTACAGCATCTTTGTTCATTAACTAATGTACTATATGCAGTCTTCATGGCAAATAAAATCATAGTAACATAATTGCCGCTATCACATACTACTTTTCTTGGTTAGAAATGCAAGTCAGCTTTTTCTTTCTTACTTTCGGCATGGTAACCCCACAAGTTAAGGCTCTACCAAGCTTAATAAATAAATAAGAAATTACAGGATTATTTAACTTCTAAATTTCCTGCCTGTAGTTTTATGATCTGGTTAGTCAGGGCATCTACCTAAAGTGCTGAAAGTCAAAATTGCATATTGCTTACAAAAAACATTCCAGTAATGTGTATACGGAAGGGCGAAGAAGCGAAGAATTGACCGATCTCAGAAGTTAATTTAAAAAGTGTAGCCTCATGTATAAAAACAAAACAAACAAACAAACACCCTAAAACCAACCCCCCCAATCATGAGTCCTCTCATATCCTCTTCCATCCCATATGTCCTTTTATAGGCAATTGAAACTGACTAGTATAATTATCCCTCCTTATTTCTGGCTAAAGCATAATAATAATAATAATAATAATAAAAAAAATTATGAAGCTGAAAAAAATAAATTAAAAGTTACATCAAAGGAATTAGCTGTCTTCATGGAAAAATCCAGACAGGAAGATACTTTTTTGTATGCGTTCATCATCACATACATGCTCTCCAGCTTCCAAAGGATCAAAGTCTATGCTTCCTCAGAACAATGCAATTTCTGATCTACATTGATTAGTGACAGACCAATCCAACTCAGAATAGCCAACTGAAGTATGATCAGTTTGTAAATGTGAATAGGTATAAAAATACCCCAAACTTATTGAAGGCTATTATTGTTCTAGTATTCATGAATGGCTAAAATATTTGCAAAGTACTCAGAATGCAGAATGTGTCAGATAAGGGCTTTTCTTAAGACAACATAACAAATATGGAGACAGAAGGGGAAAAAAGCCTCCTCACCTGGATGATTCAGAAGGGTGTCAAGTTCTTCTTTGGCCACAACCATTCTTAATTTGTCACTGCTATCAATGACAAAAATAATGGCTTGGCCTTCTCTGCATAACATAAAAAGAGCAAAGAGGCAAATTATAGGTTCTCTTAAACTGTGATTAAGAAAAGGCTTCAGAAGAAACACCAAAAAAAAGCAAACAAACCTGATTTTTTTTTCCTCTAATTTTTGTTGTTATGTACCATTAACATTTGAATCCAGCCTTATTTCTGAAATTCAATCTTTTGGTAACCTGCATAATTTTTTGAGACATGAGGTTGTTAACTGCGTGACTCATACGAGGTTCAGTCTACACAGACCCTTCAGAAAAGCTTGATTTCACTACTGAGGCTGAAAAATGAACTCTGAAAATGTAATCAACTGCTATTCTGACAGTGTGGTCATACAAACAAAGAAAATCTCAAGACAGGTTTTTGTAGAAATTCTTTATTTCCTACACTGAAACAAATTTATTTAGAGAAAGGTCAATTACCTGTTTAGAAAAAACAGTGTGTCCACAGCTGTTTAACAACTAGGCATATGCAGATTAATTTACTTTTACAAAAGTCTGCATAAACAGGATCTTTCTTTTGTTTTGAGTAACAGGTAAAAACTTTCAACTATTTCACGTCATTAAGACATTTTGGTGGCAATACGACCACAGTCACAACATATATACAACTATTCAACTCATTACTTCAGGATTTTACGGATATTTTATGACTTGATGTTCCATTTATTGAAACTTATTTGAAAGCAAAATAAAGTCTGACCAATTCAGATAAACACCCACAAAAAGTATTTTTAATTTACATTTTAATGTAATATTCACTCCTCCTTTGTTTTACATTTCTCTGAGAGACGGATACATTCTTCACCCCCCAGCACCATCTACCTTCATATTTTGATAAGAAACAGTCCTAGACCTACTGAAAACCAGAAATAACTTTACAAGCCTAAGATCGTATGAGAAGGTCCATTCTTTTCTGGAGTACAGGACTTTAACAGCAAATAAAGCTGTTGTCTATTAGCTGAAAATGCCTAAGTAATTTTTATGAGCATACAGTATTTTTGTAGAGCAATCAGAGTCCTAGCATGAATTTACTATAAAAAAATAACTTCACAAACAAGGAACAGTAATAGGGACACATCATGAGTTTACATATATTTAAGACAAGTGTACTTTGAGGACATCCTAGAAGATAGTTTCAAGCCAAATAGAAGAAAAGGGCAAGCTTCAAATACTCTGAAGCAACTACTTAGACACTTGATCAGATTTGATTGCCATTTTGCAATTCTTGCAAAATTAGATCTTGCTTAACTTTATAAACTGAATAGCACATTATTATTTTTATATTATCCTTACAAGTTAATCTTAAATATGTGACTACTGCACTGGATCAGGAACAGATACAAATGCACATTTCATTGTCAGCATTACCTAAGAAACTCCCTTACTGCTATGATGAAAAAAGCCATTTATGCCACACAAGGGATAAGTTACTGCATTAAATACGGCAGTCAGAAAAATTATTTGCTTATGAAGCACTCAGCTAGCATTTTGAGAGCAGCCTAAAGGCATCAGTTACTGAAATCCAAAAGATTTGGGAGATATAGATCTAACACTCTTCAACAGTGAAGATCTTCTACCCACACAGCAAGTTTTCAAATTGCTAACGCGAATTTTGCACAGAAAGGAGATGAAGTGTCAATCTTCAATTAAAGAATACTTCAAGCTCTATCACATGAAATATTAATATTTAATCAATATTATAATATTCAGGATTTCTCCATTCTACTTCTCCAAGCTACTTCTGTGTGGTTTACTACTGTTCACCTTATTTAGATCAGCATCAGGTATTACAGAATAACAATGAGACAACATAAATGAAGATTCAAGTTTCATTAGAAGCTAGAAAAACAGAAAATGGTATCTATTACTAATAAGGCAATACCATAGTGTTATAACGTACAGTGAATATCCTGCTTAATAAGTAACATCTAAGAATACTTGGTCAAGTTTTTAGTTACATGTGCCTCATTCTCTGAGGTTAATTTCCCTCACCTCTAAAAATCTCAGCCATCAGACAATATCTTTCGGGTCTTAAGTCACTTACCTACAGAAGAACAGAAAAATAGGAAACCTAACTCATCTTGGTGCTTTCTTACAGGATTGGTTTACAAGTTTCAACATTTAAATCCCATCTCTAGTATGCTCATCCAATCTTTGAGTCAACAAGATGTCCCCTGATCAATAGCATATAAAAATTTTCATTTTTTAGAACAGAAAGATAAGTTGTATTTATCCAGAATGACCTTCTGTGAAACACCAGGTCTAAGTCTTCTCTCAATCATTTCTAACCACTAGATATTATCATACTTGTGTTTAAATAATGTACACGACAGCTAATATGAACAGCAATGCTTAAAAATAAATGATAGGCTTACTTGTAGTAATGTTCCCAGAGGTTTCTGTATCTCCCTTGACCTGACATATCAAACACTGTGAAAGACAAACTGCAAAGAAAAGAAGTGTATGAGGCACAGAAACAAGTAACAAAACCCCAACCCAAACTCTTTTCTTTGCTGCCCTGACAGAAAAAAGCCAGATCAACTTGAATCATGATCAACTGAAAAAGATTCCCAAAGGAACTCCAGTTACTCTATCTGCCTTCAAACTATCCTACCCAGTTTTGCAGTCTTATTATAGAAATATTTCACATGGAAAACGTGTGTTTATTCTCTGAATAAAAGAACTAAACCAATTATAAAAAGTTACATCAAATACAAAATAAGGTCCCATTCAGCCTCTCTTTTTATCACATTAGTATTGAATAATGTTTATAATGTTGAGTAAATGAAATTCAGATGAGCCATGACTTAAAATCCACAGCCTGTCTTAAATTCTATCCCGAGACAGGCACCAATAACATCCAAAGGCTTCTGTATGCAAAATAGAAGGCTTTAAAAAAAAAAATTCCACCTTCAGAAAAAAAATCACATTGTGTTAATAACAGGTTACCAAGCTACAAAGGGTAGTTTTCACAACTTTGAGATTTCATCCAAACGCTAAATACAGCAAGTCAACTTAAAGAACATTACAAAAAATTCTGATCCACTCCTGAAATGTCTACAGAGGCAACATCAACTTCCATATTAGGCTTTCCTGTTTTGGGTAGTCCCAAATAGCTCCCCAAGTGGAAGCCACACCAAAATGAGGAGGTTTAGAAAAGGAAGCTCTCCAAACATCCTTCTCACTCTGAATCCAGACATCATCTGATTCTAGACTAGCTGCTCTGCCATGTATAAAGTTCTTAGCAACCCCTAAACAATGTTTTGATTGTAATATTAGATTAAGGAGGTTTTGGGGTGGAGGTGGGCTGTGGGTTTTTTTGGTTTTTTTTTTTTTTGGTTTTGGTGTATTTGCAGGTTGTGTCTCCTACTACAGGATCATAATAAAGGAAAGCAATATAAATCCATTTACGTTCTCACACAGCCAAACCCCAAACCTGTCTTATGGGCTTTACTTAGAATACAGTTATTGAGCCTCCTATAAAAATATGAAACCTATCAGTCCCACACATCAGCTCAAGGAATAAATAATTTTCTTGCAGATCTCTCATCCAGTGGGGCATGCTACTTGATTTGAAGACTAACTGCACCCATTAAAAATACACTGTGAAGGCTACAGAATAATAAAATAATATCTAATGAGGTTATCTCCTTGAAGTATCTTTGTCTCACGACATTCCCTTTCTAAATCTTAGCCTTCATTCAACTGATTTCTTCCTCCTTTTCTTGACCTTTGCCCCACCATCTTTACACTGCTAACGCTGTAGCCACCATTTTTCATTTAATGAGATTAAACTGCAATCTCTTCCGAGTCCGTCCAGTGAGAGTGCTTAATGGAATACAGGTTACCATCTAAGCAACTGTCTCTCCTCAAGTCTGTAACAGTGCCCTGTTCTGAAATTCTTAACAGACAGAAATCAGATGCTTATACACCGCATTGCAAAAAACTACCCCCCCCGCCCCTTTTTTTCTTTTGAACACATACATAGTTTTATAGCAGCACAGAACATACAATATATTCTAACACTGTCAGTCCTGCATCATGATTAGGACCCCTGGGTACTACAACACTTCAGCAAAACTGCATGTCATATCATTGTATCACCACACATTATACTCAGTTACATCCCACTGAAAGAGGTAATTTAGTGCAACTATTGGATATTACTACCGCTAAATGGAGAAAATGAAAGAAACTACTACCTCGATGTCTTGAATTTCTCTATACTGAATCCTATTGTTGGAACGATGTCCTGAGTTTGAGCCTTTAAAAGAAAGAAAGTGCAAATTTTAGTGCAAGTTAGAAAATGTAAATATTGAAATATATTTGAAACATGAATACGCTACAGATTTATTTTTCCCCAAACTGTGCAATACAAAAACTTTCTACAAATCCAGATACTTTATATTTTAAAAGTTCCCAGAAAAATACAGTAATTCAAAATCAAGGTTTTGTATTTTCTAGGAAATACAGTGAACGCTACTGGACAAGAGCATTGAAGAAATTTTAGCCTTAAGAGTGAGATTCCACCCTTTACATTAGTCTGCATGTACACATATGTGTGGATATTACCTACGAAATAAATAGGAGATAGGTTAACATGGAAGATAACAGGTTGAAGATTATGACTGAGGTCAAAGTTCACAATATTTGTGCACTTTGGAGATCACAATGTCAACCCAAACAAGTCTGCACAATATCCCAAGCCTCTTAGATAAAAGAGGGTTTAGTTCTATCAAGATATTAGACTGGCCATACTCCCAGCTTCTATCCACAGGCTGGAGGAGTCCATTTGACATTGGGAATTATACAGCAGACATTACACAATGGCCTAACCATAGTTCTATCCAAACTGCTAGACCGCTGGAAGAAATCACCATTTACCACAGAGGAATGGCCAAAACAAAGTATTATTAATAGATCCGTCTGATAACCAGCCATAACCTTGGCTGCTGAGCTAGCCAAGGAACCTATCAGCTAAGTTGGTACAACAGAATAGCTCCTTTAAGAAGCATCAATACCGAGCAGGGAGAAAGGTCACATTCCTTGGATTACAGAGCTGTCTGAGAAAGTGACATGCAATCCTTTTACAGACTTTCTAGAGCCCCTTACTAAAAACACTGTCTATAAGCAGTTGACTCCTCGCATACAACTGAAGCAAGCTTAGCTTGTTCACCTGCAGCTTCATTATGAAAATGGCATTCCGCCATCGTAAACAGTTTAGTCAGCAGTTCCTGTCACCAAGGAAAAATTTGTGCAGAGTAGAAGAGGTGTTATTTCTTTAACATTTATTTCAAATGTATTTATCAGGCCCAGAAGAAACCACTGCAAACAGATGGAGAAACACTTGTATTTGCCAGATACCTAATATATTGCTCCTAGGGCAAAGCAGCAGTTGTTCTTAAGAAGACTGGGTTGATCCAGAGCTCAAAATCATCTATCCATTGAACTTACTAAAAATAAACGATTTCATCAAGTCTGATCTAATGACTTTTGTTACACCTTAGAGCATTTGTCATGTCTTGCAAGGATAGGACTCAACACAAGTTGTATGCAAAGCTACCCTCCTAAAGCATCACATTAAATGAAGACATTTAGAAGCAAATTCTCATTACACGATTTACAGTAAAGCAAACAAATTCTATTTATTTTACTTGTGTCGTTCCCTTGGGACCTTCTCTAATACTTATTATTGTGATAAATCTTGAAGTCTGCGTTCAACTCTAGTTAGGAATCCTTTACTGCTTAAGGCATGACATAAAAACCCTGCTACAATAAAGGTCTCAAAAATTATATAAATATAAAATTTGCCTGGTACAAATTGTAGCATTTCCCCCAAACAACTGGCAGCAGATAGTAAGGAGTTTATAGTCTTTGTTTATAAATATTATTTAATTTTCAGTGGAACAATAATTGCCAGGAATGGAAGAGTAGCAGACTCTTTACCATGTTACTTTTTTGTAAACGATGTCCAGTGGTATTCTTCAGGAAAAGTTCAATGGAACTTAAAACACAAAAGCTGTGTCCCAACATAAACAGCAGAAATCACAGTTTCCCAGATGCATATAACCAAGATGCACAAGCCTCTGGCTTTGAACATACCTACCAAAATTCATCTATTTCTATTCCATAAACATACCTAGAAACAAGGTAATCCTACTTTAAATTTTGCTCAGAATACTATGCACTCTTAGCGGCCCTCTTAGTGGCCTGAAACACTTTTCACTGGATGAATGAACTGCAAGTATAAATGCCACTTATTTTGAAAGCTATTCTGCTTTAAAAATGCTGAAGTCACCACTGAGTGTGCATCTTCACATTATTTCCTATTTTATTATTTATTATACACTTATTATTTCTTAGGAAGCGATTAAAATAAACATGATAAATGTAGACAAGCACAAGTTGTTATACAACTGTATTAATCCCAAATGTTCAACACATCACTCTTAACTGGAATCCTGTAGCAATTATTTAAGTGACTTAAGAAAACTGTTTCAGATTCTGATTTCAGCCATCATATGCCCTTTCTTATTGGGTGATCTTGGAAAAAACGTGCCACATTAACTATGTTTTGGGAAATGTTTTCATAATATGCACGTGGATGCTTACATTTAGTTTTAGTTAGTTGGAAACTCTTAAAATGTATTTGTTCCACCGTACTAAATCAAAAAGCTCTTCACATCTTTTCCATGGTCACATTTAGTACAACAACATGCAAAAACAGTTTAAACAAACATCAACTCTGCAGTAAAAATATCAGCAGTGAACTAAGTAGGCTACTTACATTTGAAGGTTTAAGTTTATTTATGATCGTTGTTTTGCCGCTGTTGTCCAAGCCAAGGCACAAAACATGAACCTCCTTTTTCTTCAGCCCAAGCCATCCCGCTAGCTTGTCAAACAATCCCATAATTCTGGCTCAAATACACAGGGATCACCTGTTGTTCAGAAAATCAGAGAAGGAAATAGCTGTTGGAAAACCGCTGCATGCACAGCAGTGCTAGCACAGTAGGTGGGCATGTGGCTAAGCAGTCCTTAAACTTTTAAAAGGACAGTGTGAATAAGACACTATACAAACACTGTCACAGCAGGTTTGCTTGGTATACTAAGCAAATGGAGTGTAAGCTGATTATAGCGAAGAAGCCTTGCTACTAAAGTAGACTGGCCGTTTATAGCCCTGTCTATATAACGCAATGTCCTTGATTCACTGGGTAGCAATTTTGCCATCATTCTGAGCAGTCCAAATAGGAGCACAACTGCAACACCTCCTTACCTTCCACCAAATTGAAAAAAAAGGAAGACCATTACATTTTTCTTCAAATTGTCAGCAGTCCAGTCAGTCGTCGTAATTTAGACGACAGAGCAAAACAATACTTCCCTTCTTCAGCACCTGCTACGTAATTTTCTGAACCCTGAAGTAAATAAAGTACCCTCTGTCAATTCAATTCAAACTCTAATTGTAACAGGCTTTGCCAATATTAACATGTATAAATTAGAAACTCATTCACTACAAATAGAAACTGATTATAATAGAGCCAACAGACATGAAGCCAGACACCGTAACATTCACCCACACACCCGGTAGATGCCAAACTCCTACTCCTGCTCGGACACTGATTGAAGTTACCTGGCAGTAGCATATTCGAAGGAGCTCAAATCACACGTTCCCTTGCAGTACCGGGATGAACATACTTTGCAAAGAGGATAACCCCTGTCTACCCTGAATGAATTCCACTAAGAATAATTTCAGCAATCAAACAGCTGAAATATTTGTGATGCACTCAATAATAAAGCATTTAATTAATGCCAGAGGAATTCTGTGGAGTGGTGAAGGCTGGCTTTTCTCTCAATAAAGAAAAAACACAGCACTGAACAACTCCGATTGTGATCTTAATTACCCCAGAAAATCGTGGCAGGAGGAGGAAGAGGAAAAAACATCAATGACAAGTATTTGGTCTCCCTTCTTCACTAACTGATTACAAAGCGATAACTGCATTTTAGTAGAAATAATTTTAAAATCTTTTAATTTAATAATGTCACATAAGCCATCACCTTTGTTTACAATATGATTTTTTTTTTTTAAGTACAGCTCCTTTTTAAAGCTTTATCTAGTGCATTTTGATTCAAGACTTAGTAGTAATCTACAGAGTGGCTATGTGTGTAACTGCTATACACAGTTGTCACCAGGTTAAACAAGCCCAACGTTAGTTATAGCAATTCCCTCAAAGAAAAAAACATCATGATTTTTCTTCTAACTCCCTTTATTTTATGCCCCACTCCTTTTTTTGATATACATACAACTCTGAAAGCAGATTAAGGCTTACTGTTTATTACCGAATTAACCTAACAAAAGCCTCCTCCAAAACACATTAGTTTCTAGTCAATCAAGAGCCTTATCTATATATTCCAGACAACAATGTCCAAAAAAATACCCTGCAGGTTCTCTTAAAATGGAAAAGGAGAAGATGCAAACACTTAAAGGACACTTTTAGGGCTTCACTTTTAAACCCAAAAGCCTAAATACACATTCTTCGACAACAGTTCCTTGCAACATTTTAATTATAGCCATTTTTTCTAGCAGTTTTTCAAACAGCTGGCAAAGTCATTATTTAAGAATACAACGGGAAAAAATGTACCCTTGACTTCTTGCCCTGCCCCTTTTCTCCCATTCTTTTCCTCAGCTGTGAAGAGTTAGAGCAGTTACAGCTGGCACAGGTTCCTTTTTTTGACTGCTGACATTGAGCCCACAATGCTATACAGCATATGTTAGACACGTCCTAAAATTAGTTGAGTTCGGTCCAGGAACTTGTTATCAAACTCCATAAACCTTTATGAAGAACTGTAAGCGTGTCTGAGGCACCAGTGATTAACATCCGTTGTAACCGGCCACGTAAAGCCTTCAGAGAAGCAGTGCCTCGCTGCTAGGACGCAGGGCCCGGTGAGCCGCACAGCTCCGCAGGCGCTCCCCTGAGAGACGCCCGGGCAGGCACAGCCACCTCGCTCCGGCGGCTGCCGAGCAAGAAGGCATCGCAACCCGCTACTCCCATTACCAGCACGCGAAGCTGAAAGCCACAACCCGCAGAGTGCTATACGCACCGCGTCCCTGAGGGGATCGGAGCAGGCGGCCTGCGCAGCAGGTCCCTTCCAAACTGAACGACGCTAGAAGTCATTTAATTCACTGGGTTACTCAAACGTAACCGCTGAGATACCAAGGCCGCCCAGGCCGCCCACAGGAGGCCCTTGCAGATTAGTATCATTTAAAACTCTGCCTATAGCTTCTTTTTTTTGCAAGATCCCCGACTCCCACCACACTCGGGGTGAGCGGGCGAGGAGCCAGGGCCC